CTTGATGGTAGATTTTCCCAGTGCAGTTTGGCTTTTCTTTTCCTGACTGCTGATGTTAAGAGTGTTGATTGTGGAGCCAAGCAAGGTGTAATTGTTAACAACCTCTAATATCTTCTCTATCCATCCTGATGCTGACAATTGGCCCAGTGGTGAAAATCTTGTCTTCTTGATGTTGAGCTTCAATCCTTATTGAAGACTAGTCCTTGACCTTCTGCAGCAAGTGCTTCAGGTCTTCTTCAGTTTCATCAAGCAGGATTGTATCATCTGCATAACGTAGGTTCACAATACATTCTGTATAGTAGGATTTTACATGATATGAATATTACATCAACACCTATGTGTATGTGTGTATGCATGTTTATTTTGGGGAAGTAGTTTGTGCTGCTGTGTGTCCACAAGTCACTTTAACTCATTGCCATCCTCCACCATCTCCTACCAGCCTAAGCTCATTGGTACAGTCACTGTGTCAGTCCATCTTGTTGAGGGTCTTCCATTCTGTAACCTTTCACCTTTCCTAATATGATGTCTTTTTCCAAGGTTTAGCCTCTGTTGACACCATGCTCCAAGTATTTGAGATGAAGTTTCATCATCCTTACCTCTAAGAAGCACTTGGTTTGCACTTTATCCAGGACAGACATATTTGTTCTTTTGGCTATCCATGGAATAATCGTTATTCTTCTCCAACACCACAATACAAAGTCATTGATTTCTTCTCTCATCTTTATTCATTGTCCAACCTGCTGATGCATAGTGTATAATTGGAAATACCATAGCTTGGATCCCTTGCACCTGAGTCTTTAAACTGGCACCCAAGCCTTTTAGCTCTTTGGAAAGGCCTTTGACTGCATATTGTCTTATTGCAACATGTCTTTTCATTTCTGGATCCAAGTAAAGTCAAATCATTGAGTCGTTGAAGACTTCTGTTATTTTCTCTATCTATCATAATGTTGCCAATTGGTCCAGCAGTGGTGAGAGTTTTCATTTTCTTGATGTTGAGATATAATTCATTTTGAACTATAGTCTCTTATCTTCTGCACTAATACTTCAAGTCCTCTTCACTCTCAGAAAACAAAATTGTGTCACTGCATAACACAAGTTATTGCTACATCTTCTCTGATCCTGATGTCATATTCTTCTTCATATAGTCCAGCATCTTGAATGATTTGCCCAGCATACAGATTGAATAGGTATGGAAAAAGAATACATTTCTGACACTCAACTTTCTTGATTTTAAACCACGCAGTGTTACTTGCTCTGTTTGGACAGCTGCTTCTTGGTCTATGTACAGATTTTGCATAAGCATGTGTGAAGGAGAGAAGTAGCTTTTTTGGGCTGGGGTGAGCACCTTAGGTGAGTGCTTAACCATTTTCCACCCAGCTGTCAGTATCTTTTCTGTTAAGCCAGCTCCAGGATATGGCAGTTTGCTTATGATAGCCTGTCAGGGGCAGAAGGGAATGGTGCAGTGTGAGGGTGACAGAATCAGGGCTGTGGCATCTGGGCACAATACTTTCTATTCATACCCAAAAAACCATATTCGGGGAAAACTCGAAATAGGGATGTGAATGTCACAGGAGCTGAGAAGAACAGGGCTATATGTTTTTATTTAGACACTACTACTGTAGAGTAAGTTACTTCTAGGCAGAAGTGGGGTCCAGACTTGAAGAAAGAGATCTGAGATCCTGGTATTTACATAGTTACAAAGCCTTGTCTCATGGACATATATGTGCTTGGACATTGCGCTAACAGATGCTAAGTGAGTTCATACCTGTAAATATATGTCCCCATATATTTTTTTGGTAATGTTTTATTTATTTTAAACAACATACAGCAAAAAAGGGAAGTAATATACATAGCATAAAGACTGGTGAAGACTGGTGAAATGCAAGGGATATATTAATAATCATTACTGTTAGAATCTGAGTATCCACCTTCTCAAAGTAACAAGTGACGCATCTGTGAACTTCTGTAGTGACTTGAGAAGGCTTGATTAATATTGTTTTATCTTTGCCTTTTGCATCTGTCTTCTTTTTTTTTATTATTATTTTTGTGTCCGTGTACCGTCAAATCAGATCTGACTGGTACAGGAGGAGATTGTCCCTCCTTCCCCGGTAGAGCATCTGGTGGATTCGAACCGTTCGCCTCTGGGATTGTAGTTGCAGCTCCTTGCCACTAGGCCACCAGAGCTCCCCTGCATCTGCCTTCTGAAGTGAAAAATCTTCACCAACATCTTGCCTTTAATACTGGCTTACTAGACAAAAGTGCAGGCCCTCTCTCCCTTTAAATGACATGTTCTTTACTTTTGTCTATCATCTTGCCTAAGCTCATAACACCCTCTTCTCTCATGAGTTCTCAATGATTATATAGTCTGTAATTTAAAAGTCTGTATTCTTGTTACCTATACGATAATAATTTTTTTCCTTTCCTTTTCTTTTTTTTATTTTTATTTTCTTTTTTTTATTTATTGTATTATTTTTACGTGTACCGTCAAATCAGATCTGATTGTTACAGGAGGAGGTTGCCTCCTCCTTCTCCAGCAGAGCATCTGGTGGATTTGAACCGTGTACCTCTGCGATTGCAGTGCAGCGTCTTGCCACTAGGCCACCAGAGCTCCCTTCCTTTTCTTTTTTAAAATTTATTATTAATTTCAGTGAAAATTTACAGAGACTTTGGGTTTCCATTCATTCATTGTTGCACTTTTCTCCCCTCCCAACCCTCTCCCCTAGTACACTACCCTCTTGGAAAAGTAAAAGAAAAATTCTTTTATTGTTTTACAAAACTCTCCCAGGTCCACTCCACTATGCAGCCTTCACTCTGGACTCCTGTCATGACAAAAATACCTAATCACATATCCCTTTTAAACAGTTTTCCCCCTTATCTGTTTCAATGCAGTATACATTATTGAACCCGTCTTTCTCAGTCTCCCCCAGCCCCGATGTCAGTCCTGTTTTACAGCAGTAGCACCATGTAGTATTTGTCCTTTTGTGACTGAGATACTTCACTCAGGGTCACCTATTTTGAATAATATTGCACGAGTTCCTTGGTTTTCAATACAGCATAGTATTCCATTGTACAATAGTAAATTCTTTAGAGATAAACATTCTTTTTCAGTTACTTTGAACAAAATCTATTATAGAGGTATATATGGTCAATTAGGTTTGGCATGTGTTTTTATTAAAAATCTATGTTAAATTTCTCTTTCTTTTTTAGCAATGGATTAAACTGTTTCTTTAAGTTTCTTGCCTGGATTTATACGGGTTCAGCTAGTATGTTCTCAGAAGCCATCCATTCATTATCTGATACATGTAATCAGGTGAGAACTCATAAAGGCTTCTTTTAAAATTAAGTTTTTAAGGCATTAGTTTAAAAATTTTTCTAGTTTTTTTTAAAAATCCAAAATAATTCTTAGAGTTAGTTTATGGAAGAAGAGAAAATTACTTCCATTTTAAACACTAAAATGTATTAGATTCTAGTATTTTAAAGCAGGTTTCTATAGTTTAAGAGCTTAGAACAATTGAATGTATAATATAGTGGTGGTGTTTTCCCTACCTAGGTAGGTATTTGAGTGAGAACTTTTAAGTTCTTTGAAAAAAGATACAAAATAGAACATATAATTGCTACATTCATATTTTTTTCACATTTAAAAAGTTTGGATTACCTGAATTTGCAAGTGAAGAAAATGAAATAATATTTTAAAACCTCCCTTTGAACCTTTTTGTATTTAAAATCCAATAGAAAAAACAAAACAAAATACTCTGTGCATCGAAGGTAGAATTTCTAACTTCAAAACATAGTAAACCTAAAGAATGTTGTTCTATTTTCAAGATGATTTAAGCTCCAGATATTTTCATTGTCTCATCTTGCTAATGATTACTTTTTTTCAACTCTGTAGGGTTTACTAGCAGTGGGCATCAGTAAGTCTGTTCAAACACCAGACCCATCTCATCCGTAAGAACATTGCCTTTATTTTGTTTTTAATCTATTTTGACAACAAATAACTGAAATAAAAGCAACTGAATTTCAGAAATTTCTTGCAATTTATATACCTGCAGTTTTGTGTTAGAGAAATCATTACTTATGTAGTATCTAAAATGTAGTTCTCATTGCTGTGTCATGCTTTATAACACAGCATGAATGTTGTATTCTATAAATATAATGTTAT